AGGCCTTATAGGTCTAACTGAAATTAAAAAAATATTTAGGTACAATTTTAATTCATTACTGGAATCGAAACGATAACGCCCCTTTAGTTATCTGTTGCTATAATAGGCAGCATCACATAGGCGCATTGAAGTTTCCAGCAATAGACCTTATTTATTATTTATAGATCCTTCTTTCTGATGTTACTAAAAATTTTTTATGTAGGCTCTTTTGGCTCTATTGTGTATGTATGTATGTACATATTTTGTCAACAAGCTGTTAGTCAGTATCTCTAATCTAAGTGTGCTAACAAAAACAAACTGCTTACAAAATTAAAATTCCTTTTCCCCACTTAACCTTCCTAAAAACTTGTAAGCACTACTTTCAATGTGTAAGCGCAAGCATCCCGGTAATCTACACCAGGTTGCTTACAAAATTAAACGCATATTTCTGCTGTAACACTAACTTAAAAGTTGTAAGCAATACTTTAAATATGGCAGTCAATGCATATTCACAACTTGCAACCTATCAGATGTTCGGGGAAATCGCAGCGCTTGTAAAAAAATTTGCAGCTACTTTAAGATGTAAGCTTTTTTTATAAGAGAAATGTGTGCACATTTTATAAATTTTTATATGTGTGCTCTTCACTGCGTATGCATAATTCAGGAAATCATTACTCCCTAACATTCTTGCTCATCCGCTCAACGGCCTCACTTTCTATGCACATTCGTTGTCTGGAATTTAAATTCACTTGTATTATTTATCATTATTCATATGCTTGTACATAGATACATGTCGAATAGATTGCATATACGGCATAGATTATGTGCCTCCAATCATGTCAAACCAAGTACATATACATGTACGTATGTATGTCTGTGTAGCATGCAAGTCTGCATGGCAAGCTCACCCACCACCCACTTCGTTTTCAAGCGCCCCACACAACATTTGTTGCTTGCTGCACTCACGTTAAGTATCACTCACACACGCACGCACGCACTCAATCTGCTAATATGTACTTGCACCTGACACTGCCCTTACACTGCAACATACAACATACAACAATTTTAGAAACGCTTAAAACGTGTAACTTGCCGCGTGTGGCATGCGCATGATTCTTCAGTGTGATGCTGCTGGGGGTAGGCATAAAGGTGCATGCGTCTACTGTTTACCTCTACCAGCTTCAGCGTAAACGTCAACTGTCTGCTTTACCGCATTTTGCATAGCTGGGTGGGTGCGTGTGTGTGTGTGTGAGAGTTTATTTGTGGTTGGCTGCATTTGCCAGTGTTGCACAAATTGCCCCTGGTGCCATTCATATTGCGGCAATGCTGCGTCTGTTGTTGCGACTGTGGCGCGTTATCCACTTTCACTGCTCCAACTGTCACTCCTATACTATAAATACAATTTTGCTTTGCTCCTTGCTCCTCGTTTGCACATTCGCATGGCGTTTGGTTGTTTTGGATTGGCAGTTAATGCGCCACATCGTAACTGTGTGCAGTTTTTGTCACGTCTGATACTAGCAAAGTATTTTCTTCTTTGCATTGTACTACATCAAAGCCTGCTTCCCCATATTTATCTTCCATTTGTTATTTTGCCTTTCGCATTTGCAATTTTCATTCAATTTTTTTTTTTACGTTTTGCAATTGCATTTGCTATCGGCCTGTAACCAACACGTGCCTTATGCAATGTTAGCGACTCGTCTGTAGCCATAACAACAACAGCAATGTCACTTGCATTGTAAGTGACAATTGGCATAGGAACAGTAGCAGCTAGCAGCAAGCAGCAAACAGTTGTGCCTCTCTGCACTGATATTGCATGCATGCATACTTATTTATGTTTACAGGTACAGCTAAGCTCCTGTACGAACGTTTGTCTTGCAGTCTTATGTGAATTCCAGTTTGGCTCATAGCAGCCTGTTGCCTGTAGAATGCTCCTGCGTTTATCCTACTTTTCTCATACATTCAAAATTACACACAAACATGCACTCGAGTATTCTTGTGTGCACTTGGCTTTAATTGTTATGCCACAGTCGACACTTTTGAGCCCATAGTCCTATCCACATTCTAGTTCGTACGCTTTCTCCTGTGGTTTCAGTGGCACGTTTGCCTATTATCTTACTATATTTGAATAGGGAGTAAGTGCTTCAGACTCTCTCCCTTTCTGTGTATGACTTGCCAGTCGTATCGCAAATGAATAATTCCCTTTTAAATTGTGTGCATTCATTTGTGTAACAAATCCTCTTGCTCTTCTGTGAATATACTTGCCCCTCGCTTAAACGTGTCGTTGTTTTATTTTATTGCTATTTGTCAAATGACAATATAAAATGCATCATTGCATGGATACTTATAAGTTTACATATGGCTTTGGCATATTCAGAAAGAGGCACATTATTATACATATGTATGTATGTACATAAGTGCATAGTTCTGTATAGACACTTTCAAATATATAAAAGACAATTTAAACGATTGTAATAAAGAAAACAATTAAGGGTCGTAAGCTGCTGTCCTCATCGACTCTCTGTCTACTTACTCACTTAACGCAACCACAAGTTTTCGCCGCACTCAATTAACATTTCTCCTCTCTCCACGAGTGCAGCCTCCGAAATTGGCGTTATACATAGATAACTAAACTTTAGTTCGATCTGTCTTTTGCGCAAAAATAATATAATTTTAGCACTTCAAATTTGAAATGTCGTAAAGGTAATCAAGTTAATGCAGCTGCTTTGGTGGTGAACTCCATAACAGTCAATGTGTGTAATTTTTAGTGAATTTCTTGTTTTAAAAATTTTTATCGCCGCTTATAAGGTTATCTTATTTGATTCACTAAATTGCTTGCTATTTATATTCTACATTTCCCTTTTCTATAATCTTTAAAATTTTGTAAGCACACAACTTATTGGCATACCAAATATGTCATAAAAACAATAAAATAATTGCTGACAAAATGCAAATAATGCTTACAAAATATATTCACAATAATAAAGATTTTTTGATACAACGAAACATCTGTTCTAAATTTTTTGAAATGTTAACTCATGTGCATTCAGCAGACTTAGATTACTTATGATGTTCGAGTAGTTGCATTTTGTACCAAATACTAACTAATAACTACGAATAGCATCCTGCTAGCCATTCTCTTGACATCATTTGTTTAATTTTCCAACAATCTGTGGTTTTAATAAATACAATGCAATACAATATAATAATTTGCAAGTGTTTACATATGCTTTTGGCAGCTGATATGCATGTACAATATATGTGTATATATGTATGTATGTGTTCATGTAGCTGTCATGGACACTTTGGCTCATATTTCTTCGTAAAAATGCAAATTCTTCCATTCAGGTTTGTCGCCTGCAAATGATTGAGGTTGTGTTTATGTATCTCTTTGTTGCATTAAATTTTTCAATAAATTTTATACAACATACATAAATAAATAGTATATATGTATGTATTATTTTGTGGTATTAAATACACGTAGGTAGATAAAGAAATTGTTCGTAGGAAAATTATTCAAAAATTCTATTGAAAAAATTGATGCTGCTGCTCAGTAATACTTATGTGTACATATGTATATATGGAGATACGATTTGTTCAATTCAGTTTATCGATTTATTATTTCGATGCCTACACAATTTTTAATATTATTTAAGACAATAATTTCACGCCAGTAACAAAAATAATTTCCGCTTTAAATAAATAATAGTCTTAATTGCTGAAAATCAAGTATGTATGTATATATACATGTGCACATACGCACAAACACTTTTATTTATTAAATCAAGCAGCCATTGTATTGTGTCGCTTCATATCCGCTCCGAATATCACAATAAATTCATGTAAATATATAATGCATTTGTTACCGGTTTCCGGACCATTTGGTTTCTTGCTGCTTGACTTACATGCAAAGTATGTACATTGTTGTACGCTTTCACGCATCCTTTGAGATTTCAATTATGAACAAATTGTTTTGTTGCAAAGGTTTTATTGGTCAGTGCTATCAATGTTATAATAAGTCAACATTCAAAGCAATGTTTTTATTTCAATACAATTTCGATATTATCTATTTTCATGATTTAATGCTAGCTAATATATTAATATTTTGTAAGCCTACATCGTAATAGACCTGGAATGGCATCTGCTTTCCATTTTCATAGGTGCTTACAAAATTTTTAGTTTTTAAATAGTTTAAATCGCGCTGAATTTGTGAGCACATGGTATTTTAAATTCTCCATGACCTTAAAAATCTTGCGGACTATGTGCTTACAAATTTGAAACTGCAAAAAGCAAAGCAGTTCCACTTAAACAAAACTTTATTTTCTGTACAATAATAAAAACGATTTTTTTTGTTTAACCTTAAAAAATTAAATTACATTTAAGCAGCCATATATATTTTTAATTCTACATGCATACATATCGGCGGCTGAGTGGTAGATCGATCTATCTCGGCAGCTAATTCGAAAACGTCCTATTTCACAAACCTTTTCAAGAATGCCCTATTTCAGAATTCATTGCAAACAAAGCCTTATTTCAGCCGCCGATTCAAAAATTCTCTATCTCAACATATTTTCAATACATTTTAATTTGAGATAGAGCGTTTTTGAACCAAATTCTTAAGTGGGGCGTTTTTGAAAAGTTTTATGAGATTGGGCGTTTTCGAACTGGCTGTCGAGATAGGTTGATCTTCCACTGAGCCAAATAAATCCAGCTCAGGTAAATCTTAATATTTTCTTAATGTATTCTTAATAATAAATCCAAAGCGAAGGCAGTATCGATTTTTTTTAGAGTGATCCACCCTAATGTATTTACAAATATACATTATTTTCTTAGAAACTGCTTCTTCTTCGTAATGTAAATAAATTTATTAGTAAAGTGGAATAATACAAAACGTGATAGATGGCATTTGCTAAGGATTAGGTTCAAAACCTGCGTTCATACAAATATGTACATACACTACAGCATCTCTTACATCAATACTAAATGCGGAAAATTTTCTTTTTTATGTTAATTAATTTTAAACAATGCGTACTTACATATGTACTTCCATCTCTTCCATACCTCTCCCCTCTCTCACGCAGGCCTCGCATTGAACACCAACTCGCTGACCGGTCGCCGCGACTCCTTCGACCGCAACACATCTGCCTTCAGCCCCTCGGCAGTGGATTATAATAACAGCACCGCCACCACTCTACAAGCGGCTGCAGCTGCCGCCGCCGCTGCTGCTGCTGCTGCACGCGGCAAATGGCCCGGAGCTATGACCAACAGCTATGGCGCGCTGGGCGCCAATGCTTCAGCCAGCCCGATTGGGGCAGCCATTACACCGCCGCCGCCACAATCATGCCTCGTCACTAATCGCGCACCTGGCGCTGAAACCAAGTATCGTCAACAAATGTCTGTCGGTGGTGTTGGCCTGCCACCAGCAGCTGCTGCAGCACAAGCAGCTGCCGCTGCAGCCGCTGGCAATATGTTCGGTTCGAGTAGTTCACTCTTTTCAAAGCTGGCCATTCCGGGTAGTGCAGCCGCTGCTGCAGCTGCTGCTGCTGCCGCTGCCTCATCACGACATGCAGCAGCTGCTGCCGCTGGCCTAAATGTGTCCGCCGCTGCTGCTGCTGCTGCTGCAGCCGCTGTCGCTGCAGCTGGTGCACCGCAACCAGGACGGTCGCGACTGCTCGAGGATTTCCGCAATCAGCGCTATCCCAACTTACAATTACGCGATTTGGCCAATCATATTGTGGAATTTTCGCAGGATCAGCATGGCTCGCGCTTCATACAGCAGAAATTGGAACGCGCCACCGCTGCCGAGAAACAACTGGTGTTTAGTGAGATTTTAGGTTCCGCCTTCAGCTTGATGACCGACGTTTTTGGCAACTATGTTATACAGAAATTCTTTGAGTTTGGCACACCGGAGCAAAAGAACACGCTGGGCATGCAGGTGAAAGGGCATGTGTTGCAGTTGGCTTTGCAAATGTATGGCTGCCGTGTCATACAGAAGGCGCTGGAGAGTATTACATCGGAGCAGCAGCGAGAGATCGTCCTTGAGCTGGATGGTAATGTATTGAAATGTGTCAAAGACCAGAATGGCAATCATGTGGTGCAAAAGTGCATCGAATGCGTGGATCCATCGGCGCTGCAGTTTGTTATAAATGCCTTCAAGGGTCAGGTATACACGCTAAGCACACACCCATATGGCTGTCGAGTCATACAACGTATACTGGAGCACTGCACCTCCGAGCAGACACAACCCATATTGGATGAGTTGCACGAGCATACCGAGCAACTGATACAGGATCAGTATGGCAATTATGTTATACAACATGTGCTGGGTGAGTGTGGTGAAAATTTAAAAAGTTTACACTTCTAAGTATTGTGTAAGTATGACTAACTTATTTTTCGTTTTTCAGAACACGGCAAACCCGAAGACAAATCGATACTTATAAACGGCGTGCGTGGAAAAGTTTTGGTTTTGTCGCAGCATAAATTCGCGTCGAATGTAGTGGAGAAGTGTGTCACGCATGCCACACGCGGCGAACGCACCGCTCTCATCGATGAAGTGTGCACTTTTAATGACAAGTAAGGATCGAAAATGGGCTTCTAGTTATTTTTGACGATAAATATTTTGTGAAAAGTCGCTTATGCAAAGAAGTAAAATATTTCATGAATTTTATGCTTTTTTCATTCAGTAGAAAACCTTCGTCAATTTTCTTCCCATCACAAACATCGCTCAAATAATAGTTTGGTCAAATTTGTAGCACAAAAGACCTGGATGAATTATTTGAGATATTTAGCTATGGAAAGGCTTTGCTTAGACTATATGATTTTATTTTTCACTACTGCTTACAAAATTTAATGCCTGCTTACAACAGTAAATGTGAGCTAAATTTGTAATCGCTTAGTAAAATCAAAAGCTAATTAGGGTGTTCGCATGGTTTTTGGAATCAGTCAAATTTTCAGAAGATTATTCATTTTTCAACGCTTAANGTTTGAGATATTTAGCCATGGAAAGGCTTTGCTTAGACTATATGATTTTATTTTTCACTACTGCTTACAAAATTTAATGCCTGCTTACAACAGTAAATGTGAGCTGAATTTGTAAGCGCTTAGTAAAATCAAAAGCTAATTAGGGTGTTCGCATGGTTTTGGAATCAGTCAAATTTTCAGAAGATTATTCATTTTTCAACGCTTAAATATGTTTAGATTTCCAGCAACCGCAAAACGTTTTCAAATTTTGTAAACATTTCCTTTAACTTCACAAAGTAGACTCGAATCAAATATATATAAATTTGTAAGCTTTTGAGATTTTCAAAATGTTGTAGTAACAGCATAAAAACTCATTCGAGTCAGCTGCATGCAACCGCAACCCCCAAATTTATATCTGGCCCAAGACTGTTCTCCAGTTATATTTATCAAAATCTCAAAATCTAATTTACAACTTTAATTTAACGAATGTGTGCTGACAAAATATATTCTCTCGAAGGAAATTTGTAAGCAAAGCTGCAATTTATAGTAAAATAATGTATTTTTTAATTTCTGGGAATTGCTTATAAAATTAATAGGTCGCTTACAATATTAAACGCGTGCTGAATTTGAAAGCGCGTAGTTGNAAATCTCAAAATCTAATTTACAACTTTAATTTAACGAATGTGTGCTGACAAAATATATTCTCTCGAAGGAAGTTTGTAAGCAAAGCTGCAATTTATAGTAAAATAATGTATTTTTTAATTTCTGGGAATTGCTTATAAAATTATTAGGTCGCTTACAATATTAAACGCGTGCTGAATTTGAAAGCGCGTAGTTGAAACATAAATTTGTATTTAGAGTACAAATTTAAACCATGTGCTTACAAAATTTTGTAGATGTAAAGAGTGTTGGTTTGGAAAAAAACATTCCAAACCATGTACATATCGACGGTAGTTTGGCAAAACCGCTTATCACAGAAATCACTACTACTTCGCGTCTTGTAAATTTAAATCGAAATAGGCCTTAAAATACTATGATTCATTATGTTTTATTCTTAAGTGAATTTTTTTTTTCAATTTCTCTAATATGAAAAATGATTTTTCTATTAAATTGCTGGTGAAACCTACAGTTAATTTTTAATAGTTAAATCAAAAATTATTATTTTTTTATTATTAATAGAGTTTTTTTTTTTTNATTGTAAATTTAAATCGAAATAGGCCTTAAAATACTATGATTCATTATGTTTTATTCTTAAGTGAATTTTTTTTTTTTTTCAATTTCTCTAATATGAAAAATGATTTTTCTATTAAATTTCTGGTGAAACCTACAGTTAATTTTTAATAGTTAGATCAAAAATTATTATTTTTTTATTATTAATAGAGTTTTTTTTTTTTGTTAGAGAGTGTTGTTTGGGAGCGTTTTGAGGTACATATATACGTGGTTTTGCCAAAGTATCGTCGATATGTAGCTTTCTTTTCTACAGGCTCTCCATTGTTTCTAGAATTTTTTCAAATATTAATTTTAATTAATATTCTCCTCTTCCCCCAGCGCCTTGCACGTCATGATGAAGGATCAATATGCCAACTATGTGGTGNATTTCTGGTGAAACCTACAGTTAATTTTTAATAGTTAGATCAAAAATTATTATTTTTTTATTGTTAATAGAGTTTTTTTTTTTTGTTAGAGAGTGTTGTTTGGGAGCGTTTTGAGGTATATATATACGTGGTTTTGCCAAAGTATCGTTAATATGTATCTTTCTTTTATACAGGCGCTCCACTATTTCTAGATTTTTTTTAAATATTCATTTTAATTAATATTCTCCTCTTCCCCCAGCGCCTTGCACGTCATGATGAAGGATCAATATGCCAACTATGTGGTGCAGAAAATGATCGACGTCTCAGAGCCGACANATATACGTGGTTTTGCCAAAGTATCGTTAATATGTATCTTTCTTTTATACAGGCGCTCCACTATTTCTAGATTTTTTTTAAATATTCATTTTAATTAATATTCTCCTCTTCCCCCAGCGCCTTGCACGTCATGATGAAGGATCAATATGCCAACTATGTGGTGCAGAAAATGATCGACGTCTCAGAGCCGACACAATTGAAAAAACTAATGAATAAGATACGCCCACATATGGCAGCATTACGCAAATACACCTACGGCAAGCATATCAATGCCAAACTGGAGAAGTATTTCATGAAGACAGCCAATCCAATTACAACAACAAGCACCACAATCGCCTCACCATCGCAATCGTCGATTGCGTGCAGCACTAGCATCTTAACCTCAACCACAGCAGCCGCTTGCAGTACAGCGGCTGGACTGACCATTACTACGCCAACAAACTGCATGACTGCCGGCCTTACGGTCGGTGCGCCCATCATGATACAAGAGAATGGTATTAGTGTCACAGCGGTGGGTCAGACATCGCCAGCAGCATCATCTTGCACCGTATCGACAAACAGCAGCAGTGCCACATCGGTAGTGACAGCTGTCAACAGCGGTCTGGGACCCATTGGACCACCCACCGCCAACGGTGTAATATTGTAAAGAGTGGGCGGTGTACAGAACAAAAGCCAAAATAGAAGCGCATAGAAAAGCGACTGCATGATATGCAGTACAAGTGGAGAGAAAGGAGAAGAATAAGAAATATGAAAAATTTAGAAGAGAATGAAAAGAGAAAGAACACAGTTTTATTAGTTTATACATACATGTATTAAGTAGGAAGTAAATGTGAGCAAAATGCGAGCGTAAAGCAGGAACTTGCTATATATAATTTGAATGTGTAACTTAGTTTTAAGATGCTGTATTTTTTCGCGATTTTATTTAGATTAGATTTTAAAATCTTCCCAAACAGAAAAACGAACAAACACACACACACACA